CGGACAGAAGGAGCTTTACGTGATTTGCGTTATCACGGGCGAAGGCGTATCGACTGCATTCGACCACCTTTGCGTTTAAAACACTGGCCCCTCGCCACCGGGGTGAGTGCGGAAGTTCGCTTTGTGTGTCTCAGATTCCAGGGGGTACGGATTGTCAAGTCCATGGCCCCCGGTCTCTGTGCCGACACGGGATTTGAATCCGGAAGTTTCGGCGTCCACTGTGTGCTCCTATGTGTAATATCAGGGATATGACCCATCGGCCCAAAGTACAATGTGCATCACGCTACAAGCGGACGATTTAACCGTCGCGAGTAGGGGGACTCAGGACTGTTTGCCGAAGCAGAGAGTCCCTACCACGTTTCAGCAGCGCCCCTGTCGAGTGCCATCACACCGCAGGCCAGCGGGTGCCTACGCTTCCATCGGCAGGGCTACCAATTTCCATCAGCTGTTGCTGACTTTTATCAGACAAGCCCAATCGACTACACTCTGCATATCTCGTCCGAAAACGAGTCCTTCCTAGGAACCGTATTGGCGACTGCTACGGCGACTTTCCCCCAGCTCCGGACGTACTGAGGGTTCGTTTTGGCCCTCTTATAGCCGATACTATTAGGGATAGCGCCGCGCCTCGATCGCACCAGTCTCCCTTCTGTTTTGATGTGAGTCTGCATGCCACAATGCCAATAAGCAGCTCTTGTAGCCGTCCGTTCCAACGGGGATAGGCTCCAGAGTAGGGAGAGATCGAAACCCCGCCGGGGTCGCCCCTCACCGTAGGGCGACTGACGGACAGCAAGCTTTATAAAGGCTTGGTACACAGACCCAAAGCCTATGATGTAATAACTTTTCTGGAACCTTCAGCTCGAGTCGTAAGACTCCATCAGCGAACGAGATCAATACGAGTCTTTCGGGACCCATTACCCGTTGTCTCTCGCCGCCTGGCCCCCCGCCACGTCCAGGCTCGGTTCCCTACCCGGGGGGGATGCAGAAACTAGTCAGGATTGCGACAAAAAAAAGTGCCAAAATAGCCTTAGAGTTGACCACACGATTACGTTTATTCTCCACTGAGAGCAAACACGGCACCCATCTTGCCGAGAGTTTTTTCACACCCAATTTTTCGTGCAAAATTGAAAACACTACCTTGTGATATGCCTGTGGCCTCAACTATTTCATGCACTTTGATTCGTTGATCACTCAAAAGCATATCGTGGATTTTGTCAATCATTTTGGGGGGTATAGTTACTTCCACTGGACGTCCGGAACGATGTTCATCTTTTGTGGATGTATGACCACGTGTGAACTCATTTACCCAATTGTAAATAGTTGCAAACACTGGAGCAGATGTGTCATGAACTTCATCCAACTCAGCTTTGATCTCTTTTGGTGTTAAGCCTTTTAAATATAAGTGTTTAATCATTGCTCGAAACTCACTTTTTTCTATTTTTCTAAATAAACAAAAGTTTCTTGCTAAAATTGACAATAAAAATTAAACCATATGATGGATATGACTGAGACTTTCACAACTGTCTAGTGAGACATAATGCTTACAAAAAACGCAACATTTTTGAGGCTACGAGCCCCTCGATGTGGGTTTCTGTCCGTGGTGAGGGGACCTCCCAGAGTTGGTTTAGTAACTCTTCTTTACCATCCCTGGGATCTGAACGCCCACCCACGCGTTTGCAGTGCGTGGTGTCCCGTATGCCAGAAAGGGGGATCCTGGTAGTTAACGTTTCCAACACTGCTTTGGCCCCTGCTTCGGATAAACGGGAGGCTCAAATCAGGCTCCGTTTGAGTCAATCGGCTGGTCGTTGAGTCATTCTTGACCTCGGCTTGGAGTCAACCGATCGATGCAGACCGGGCAGACACGTCAGACAAGATGTGCTTTTCTTGACTGCATTGTGAGGGTATAGCTCCACCATACTCAACCTTTTTTTTTCTCGGTCCACATACACATGATAGCTATTACACGCGGGCCGCAACATAACAATTATAATAAAAAACTTACATAATTTTTCACTTACCCTAGAAATTTAGTGTGACTGTTGATATTGCGAACATTTTTTCACAATTTCATTTAAATCAGGCTTGTAACTGCTGCATGCTACTCGTAAAACGGCATCCAGGTGTGAATCAGTAAGCCGGTTTCTATATATGTTCTTTGCATATTTCATTTTTGAATATGACGTTTCACATAGATACGTTGATGCGAACAACGTAAGTAAAATTTGAGCACATTTTTTTACAGTCTTATATTGTTCGGGCACTACTTTCCAGAAGTCAACGTAATTATTTTCCGCTCTTTTTTCTTTAAAAATAGCTTCCAGGTGTGTATTGTTCTTCATCTCAATAAATTCGTCAAATAGCTCTGCGTAATTACATGCAAATATATCAGCCAATTCTGATATTATTGCCGGTTCCAAGTGCCAGGGATTTTCAATGAGCAACAGGATATTTTTTATTTTCCTTAGATCATGAAATCTATGTTTAAATTCCTCAGATAACGCAGTTAAATAATTTGAAAAAATTGTATAGTTTTCTGGAGAAATATTAATACCGTCCTGCTTAGCGTTTGTCATGGTTGGAAAATTTCGCAGTATTTTGTTCTGTATTTCTTGGTAATAAATGTTTAATTTTTCTTCGAAGGCAAATATTTTATTCGCCATCTGTGAAATTATTTTATTTTTACCCTGCAAACCAGTATTGAGACTGTTCAGCTTCTCTGTAATGTCGCACAGAAACGCTACAATACACCACCATTCATTATTTTGCAGTTCACTGTATATTTTATTATTTTGCTGTAAAAACAGCATTATTTCTTTTCGCAAAGAAAAAAACCTTTCCAGAACTTTCCCCCTGCTAAGCCAACGTACTGAGGTATGTAAAAGAACATCATTGTATTGACTATCCACTTCCTCTAAAAGACTTTTAAATTTTCTGTGGTTCAGTTCTCGTGCTCGGATATAATTCACTATATTTATGACAGTTTTCATCACAGTATCTACTTTAGGATTAGCAATACGTGAAGCCAAGTTTTCCTGATGAATGATGCAGTGAAATGTTATTAAATTTGTCAAATCATAATTCTGTTTCAGTAGAGAAATAAATCCATTTTCAGATCCAGTCATTGAAGGACAGCCATCGGTACACACACAAATTAATTTTTTTACATCTATCTTGTTCTGTTCTAGAAAATTGCAAATAGTATCGAGATAATCTTTGCCCCTGGTCTGGCCCTTCATTGGAAGGAATTTCAAAAAATCTTCGCAAATTGAATTTTGTACTGTACAATATCTAACAAAAACCGAGCATTGTGATGTCGCTGAAATATCCGTGCTAGAGTCAAAAGCTAAACTAAAAAACTTGCAGTTTTTCAAGTCTTCAATTACGTTATCACAAATATGGTTCGCAATATCTTCAATACGTCTAACACAGGTAGAATCTGAAAGCTGGATTTTTTTTATTTCAGAAATTATTTGATTTTTGTTACTGAATTTATCAAACAGTACATTGGAAGCGCTTAAAAAACATTCCTTCACAATTTCAGCATCAGTAAACGGTTTCATATGTTTACCAAGTATATAACAAATTTCATACGATGCTTTCGTTACAGCTGCATCTTGTACTATTGCCACAGACATAATATTTTGTTGATTTTGCAATGACTTTTTAAAAATAGCCAATTTCTCGTGTCTTATGAGAGATCCTGGAGGAAAAGTATCATTGAACGATTTATGTTTAGTGTTAAAATGACGAGCAATATTATATTTTTTTAATATAACACTTTCACGACAAATCAAACAAGTTGCAAAACCGTGTTTGTTTTGCACTACAAAATAGTCAGCTTCCCATTCGTCTTGAAACATTCTATTTTCGTCAGACATTTTTCGTTTGTGTTTGGAAGACACTCCTGACATGGTTGATAATAATTATAAATTACAATTTCTCAAATAAAATGGTCTCTAATTCAATGTGATTTATTGTTTACTCAATTATAACTCTTAAGGTACTTTAACAATTACAGAGCCACAGAACACAAGCAAAACAAACAAGTTATGACTTACGACTTTAACCTATTCGATGTTTAAATTCTTGACGCCATGTTGAATTTTCGTCGAAAATTACACGTTTTTTTTTTTTTTAATAATCGTGGCTATTTTATCATCCGAAATTACTTGTTTTATTTTTCACAAACAAAATAGATATATTAATAAATATAAAAACAAAAAATTATTTCTAAAGTTCGTTTTAATATAAAAATTATGACGCATAGCGACATCTAGTATCAAAAACGTTCCGGTGCAGAAATGAATAAATTCGGGTTCGACAAATGAGGTCAACACGAAAATATTCGGGAACAACACGGGACGGGTATCGCGTGTAGGCGCTACGGGGTCTCTATAAATTACTAAGTCTAGCTCTACTTTTACCGTCTCTTGCGGATCGCCCCCTGATGGCCACCACGTGTTCACAATGCTCGGACATCCGGCGACAACTTTCTATAGACAAAAAGCACTTAGCGGTGTGGGCGGCATGACCAAATCTATTTTTTGCCACGAAAATTTCAAAATTCATATTTTTACTGCATTATTTACGTCCGGGCCACTCACAAAAGGTCAGCGGGCCGCAGGTTGAGTATGGGGGGTATAGCTCCTGGGAAACACTGGTGTGATGGTCTATGGGACTCTCCCATGTGACGGCATCCCCTTGTTGGGCCCCATGGTGGGTGGGGTCACCAGGTGCTGAATAATTATCTCTAAATATGGATTCTTCAAAATCTAAAACATCTACCATTGTGTACTGCCACCAAAGGAGGTCACTTCCTCCAATCAACCAACCTACCTTATGTTCATGCTACAGGAGAAACACCTTTGTCTAAACGCTCTCCTTTTTTAATCCAGAAACTTTTTGAGCCGACCATTGGGCACCTTAAAAAAATCCAAAAATCGAGGTCAGGAGATCTACTTGTGGAAACATCCTTACCTCAACAGTCAGAAAAACTTTTGAGAATGAAGTCTCTAGGAGACATACAAGTCACCATCACACCACATACAAGTTTGAACTCTTCACGTGGTGTGATATCTGAAATTGATCTCATGTCTGAGGATGAATCAGATATTCAGATTGGTCTTTCAGATCAAGGTGTTACTGCTGTCCGACGCATCTTCATTTGTCGAGATGGCAAGTTAATTCCTGCTAAACACTTAATTTTAACCTTTAACAAACCAACTTTGCCATCTGCTATCACAGCAGGTTATCTGCGCTGCCCACTTCGTCCATATGTTCCGAATCCGCTGTGTTGTTTCAAATGCCAGCGATTTGGACATTTCCACACTGTGTGCATGTGCTGTGGGAAAAAGCACATGCACACAGTGTGGAACTGAAGGTCACGAGAGTACCGAGTGCACCAATACTCCATGCTGTGTGAATTGTAAAGATGCCCATCCTGCATACTCAAGGAAATGCCCTGCATGGCAGAGAGAAAAGGAGATTCAACGAGTAAAAATCACAAATAATGTACCATAACCAGAAGCCCGCCGCATGGTCTCTCAAACTACAACATTAAAACAAAAAACATTTGCTTCTGTTTTGAAATCTACAAAAACATATGGAGTTCAAACAGATATTTCTGTATCACCAAGTGAATCTCTTACTCGCCATGCAAAATGTCTACTGATCCCACCTACACAAGCAGAAGAAACGGCAAACACAAAGACCAAAATTCTTGTAACTAAAACAGGGGTAACAACCAGAAATGTGGGTTCTAAAAAGGCAAATAAGAACCCACTGAACAAACAAAAATTGAAAGCAGCCCTCTCTAAATCAAACAGATCAGAGACTTAATCCATGAGCGAGTTCTCTGATATTTCTGATGAAGAAAATAATATGGAGGGGACCCAATCACCCTCCCCTTCAAAAGGAAAATCCTCAGTTAAATTGAAGAGGGACACTTTTGCGAAGACTGCTGCCTCAAACACACAATGGATTATAAAATAATCCAATGGAAATGTCGTGGTTTCCGCAACAACTTCTCTGACATTAAACACTTGACATTATATACCTCACCTCTCTGTGTGGCACTTCAGGAAACACATCTAAAACCTGGAAAAAATATTTTTTTAAAAGGATTCGATCTCTACCGCAAGGATGATGATAGTCACAACCGTGCCAGTGGAGGTGTGGCTATTGTCGTTTCAAATCACATCCCATCCTTGCCGATACAAATAACAACTGATTTGCAAGCTGTGGCAGTCAGAATTTCAATTGGAGTAACTGTCACAGTTTGTTCTATATACTTGCCATCAGATGTCAGAGTGAATGAGGATGAATTGGATGCTATAGTTGAAAAGTTGCCTACTCCGTTTCTTTTACTAGGTGATTTTAATGGCCATAATCCTATGTGGGGCAGTCCTGACATTAATCGTCGAGGCAGAGCCATTTAACGACTCATAGGTAATCAGCAAATGTATTTATTTAATACTGGAGATGTGACATACTTCCATGCCCTAACAAGAACTTTCACTGCCATTGATCTTTCATTAGCCATTCCCAACCTATTTTCAGCATTTACATGGGAGGTTGGATCAAATCCACTTTCCAGTGACCACTTCCCAATATTTCTAAAATATCGAGGCAGAGATAGCTGTGTAACAGCCCGTTTACCACGCTGGAAATTGGAAACAGCTGATTGGCCTCTTTTTTTCTCTATGGCCAACATCACGGAGGATATGGTGAATATTGTTGATATCAATGACGCAGTTGAAGTTGTCACTTCCAGTATTATTCAGGCAGCTGAAAAAACAATGGGGAAGACATCAACTATATATCCAAAACATCCTAAACCATGGTGGAACCAGAATTGTGAGGCAGCGTTTAAAGCCCAAAAGAAAGCATGTGGTATTTTCAGAAGATACCCCACTGCAAGAAATTTGGTTGCTTTTAAAAAAGCAAATGCAAATGCCAGAAGAATTAGAAGACAAAGCCAAAGGGATTCTTGGCGGAAGTATGTCTCTAGTATAACATCTTCCACTAGCTCAAAAGCAGTCTGGGATAAAATCCATAAAATTAATGGAAAATATGCTTCACACTCTCTGTCCATGCTGGAAAATAATGGCAAAATAATCAGCGATATACAGGGTATTGCCAATTTGTTGGGTGAAACGTTTTCTTTTTCATCCAGCAATGTAATGTTTACTAGAAATTTCCAAGATTATAAAGCTCGAAGTAAAAAACAATACTTAAACTTTCACTCCTCATTCCCCCTCGATGTGGGTTCCTGTCCATGGTGAGGGGACCTCCCAGAAACTCCTCTTTACCATCCCTGGGATCTGAACGCCCACCCACGTGTTTGCCGTGCGTGGTGTCCCGTATGCCGGAAAGGGGGATCCTGGTAGTTGAGGGGCAACATAACGTCCCCAACACACTGCTTTGGCCCCTGCTTCGGATAAACGGGAGGCTCAAATCAGGCTCCATTTGAGTCAATCGGCTGGTTGTTGAGTCATTTTTGACCTCGGTTTGGAGTCAACTGATCGATGCAGACCAGGCAGACATGTCAGGCAAGATGTGCTCTTCTTGACTGCATTGTGAGGGTATAGCTCTTGGGAAACCCTGGNGGCTCAAATCAGGCTCCGTTTGAGTCAATCGGCTGGTCGTTGAGTCATTCTTGACCTCGGCTTGGAGTCAACCGATCGATGCAGACCGGGCAGACACGTCAGACAAGATGTGCTTTTCTTGACTGCATTGTGAGGGTATAGCTCCACCATACTCAACCTTTTTTTTTCTCGGTCCACATACACATGATAGCTATTACACGCGGGCCGCAACATAACAATTATAATAAAAAACTTACATAATTTTTCACTTACCCTAGAAATTTAGTGTGACTGTTGATATTGCGAACATTTTTTCACAATTTCATTTAAATCAGGCTTGTAACTGCTGCATGCTACTTGTAAAACGGCATCCAGGTGTGAATCAGTAAGCCGGTTTCTATATATGTTCTTTGCATATTTCATTTTTGAATATGACGTTTCACATAGATACATTGATGCGAACAACGTAAGTAAAATTTGAGCACATTTTTTTACAGTCTTATATTGTTCGGGCACTACTTTCCAGAAGTCAACGTAATTATTTTCCGCTCTTTTTTCTTTAAAAATAGCTTCCAGGTGTGTATTGTTCTTCATCTCAATAAATTCGTCAAATAGCTCTGCGTAATTACATGCAAATATATCAGCCAATTCTGATATTATTGCCGGTTCCAAGTGCCAGGGATTTTCAATGAGCAACAGGATATTTTTTATTTTCCTTAGATCATGAAATCTATGTTTAAATTCCTCAGATAACGCAGTTAAATAATTTGAAAAAATTGTATAGTTTTCTGGAGAAATATTAATACCGTCCTGCTTAGCGTTTGTCATGGTTGGAAAATTTCGCAGTATTTTGTTCTGTATTTCTTGGTAATAAATGTTTAATTTTTCTTCGAAGGCAAATATTTTATTTGCCATCTGTGAAATTATTTTATTTTTACCCTGCAAACCAGTATTGAGACTGTTCAGCTTCTCTGTAATGTCGCACAGAAACGCTACAATACACCACCATTCATTATTTTGCAGTTCACTGTATATTTTATTATTTTGCTGTAAAAACAGCATTATTTCTTTTCACAAAGAAAAAAATTTTTCCAGAACTTTCCCCCTGCTAAGCCAACGTACTGAGGTATGTAAAAGAACATCATTGTATTGACTATCCACTTCCTCTAAAAGACTTTTAAATTTTCTGTGGTTCAGTTCTCGTGCTCGGATATAATTCACTATACAGGGTGCTTCAAAAAAATGTATACACACTTTGAACTTCCATAGAAAATTTATTTACCGTTCTACAAAGTTAAATTTCAGGAAAATAGAAAGCTGAAAGTCCAATGTAAATGAAACATAAATAACAAATGTTAATACTGTTCAAATTGGTGACCTGCAGCATCAATACAATTCTGAGTACGAGTCACCACAGATTCTGTACATCGTATCAAAACGTCCAATGAGATTTCTCTACACACTGCTTGAATCTCATTCCAAAGAATGTCTAGGTTACGTGGTTTACGTTTGTACACCTCATCTTTTACTGTGCCCCACAAGAAGAAATCCAGTGGTGTAAGGTCTGGAGAGCGTGGTGGAAACTCGATTGGCCCCCTGCGTCCTATCCACTGGCCCGGCAAATTTTGATCCAGGTAAGCTCGTACGTCCCTGTGATAGTGCGGCGGAGCACCATCTTGTTGAAAATAAAAATCATCATTATCGTATAATGCACGAATGGCAGGAAATATGGAATCAGCAAGCATTGTTAGGTAATTAATACCAGTTACAGTGCCTTCAAATCGAAAAGGTCCAATGAGTCCCCTTGAAGACAAACCGCACCACACATTTACACCAGGCAAATTTACAGCTTTTTCAATTGTAATGTGAGGATTTTCTTCACACCAGTAAACACAATTGTGCCTATTGACAGTTCCATTAAGTTTGAATTGGGCTTCATCCGACCAAATGATGCTACCCATAAATCCCGGTTTACGTATCACCATCTCCTGAATCCATTCACAAAATTGCAACCTTCGATCTGGATCGTCGTCATTTAGCTGTTGCACCAGCCTTGGAATGTAAACACGATNAAATAATCGTGACTATTTTATCATCCGAAATTATTTGTTTTATTTTTCACAAACAAAATAGATATATTAATAAATATAAAAACAAAAAATTATTTCTAAAGTTCGTTTTAATATAAAAATTATGACGCATAGCGACATCTAGTATCAAAAACGTTCCGGTGCAGAAATGAATAAATTCAGGTTCGACAAATGAGGTCAACACGAAAATATTCGGGAACAACACGGGAGCGTGTAGGCGCTACGGGGTCTCTATAAATTACTAAGTCTAGCTCTACTTTTACCGTCTCTTGCGGATCGCCCCCTGATGGCCACCACGTGTTCACAATGCTCGGACATCTGGCGACAACTTTCTATGGACAAAAAGCACTTAGCGGTGTGGGCGGAGTGACCAAATCTATTTTTTGCTACGAAAATTTCAAAATTCATATTTTTACTGCATTATTTACGTCCGGGCCACTCACAAAAGGTCAGCGGGCCGCAGGTTGAGTATGGGGGCTGTAGTGTCTTTACCCTGTACGTCATACTTTTCCTTTAACAATAGAGTTGTACAGGTCATCTATTAACTTCTTTCGAGGAAAAAGATTTTAATTGAAATAACCTGATTTCCGGTTTGCATCAGAAGTCCTTATATAGTTAACTGGGATCTCCTGTTACTAAGGTTTTTGTATGTGGTTTCATCTTTCTAACTCCATTCTCGAGATTAAGGAAAGACAGTTGGACAGATTGACAACAGTGAATTTATAGGTTTACAAGTTTTTCAAATTGAAGTCCAAAAATTAATTATTGAGCAAATTTAAAAATTGGGACAAGAATAAGCAGTAAGCTTATCTTAAACTTAGTTGATGGATAAACTTGTAGTTTATTCTTTCTTCTCATTTCTTAAATTAAAATATAAGTGGGAAAATATTGTAGAATATATAAACAAATTAAAAAATCCTTTTTATTCCAATCAGGGACTTGCAGTAGACAACAAACAAACAAACAAACAAAATGTTCTTTTGAAAGTGGACCGATGATTGCGATTAAAAACAAAATTACATAATAAAACCGATCTTGAAACCAACCTTTCATTTGAGGATCTGGTGCCCTGCCCTTTACAGATTAAAAGCAGTGTAAAAAAAGTTTTCACAGCAGCAGTCCTGTCCTGATGCTGTATTTATACTGATTAGAAATAACTGCTAGAGCCCTGTGGTGATAGGAATTATTTTCATAAATCCATATGCAGAATCCAGGAGCATTTTCCTAATTTGAAAAATATTTTTCGAATTATGAAAATAATCTTGGGTGCTATGTATTGATATAAAATATAAGTACACAATATATAATTATATATAATATATAATTAACACAATATATATATATTGTGTTAATTGAGAAATATATATATATTAATATAAAGAAAATTTATAACTATAAATTATAAAAAGATAAAATTTTGAAATTTAAAATCTTATTTAATTTTATTGCTATAAATGCAACAATCTGACAAAATTGGTGACTGAGAGTAATTTTTACAGTATTAAATATACTGTAAACAAAGACAAAGACATAAGACAATAGTAAAACAGCATATAATGAGTATTTTTTGATGTTTCAAGATTAAACGAGAAATTGTGATCAATGTAAAAATTTACATAAAAGTACAAGATAGTTGATTAAAATGGACAATGATAATTTATACATTGTAAAATATATTTGAGTAATACAAAAAAGTTTTTATTATCACTACTCTGTCGTGTTATAACCACAGGAACAATCTTCACTTCTCATAAGATGGGAATAGCAAAGACAAATTTTTTGTATTCTTCAAATATATTTTAGAAAAATAATTTGTTTCAAAAATCTGTTCTTGAAATTAATATTAAATATAATTGAAACTCAAAAAATCAGTAGATAATGTAAAGTTAAGCAACTGACTACTAATTTGAACCTAAAACATTTTTAGGCAGAATTAGATAACCTAATAAATAGGGTACAGTAATACCTGGACTTATGCTACCCTGACTTACGTGAACGCGGAGTTACGCGATTTTCAAATCTTGTCGATTCGTCTTTTGTTTTGGCGCCACACAACTCTTGATTACTCACTCCCCCCAGACTATTGTTCAGCTTACATGTTCGGACGTGTCACGCAAAATCGACTCATAGCTACAATTTATTTCTGTGTTTGTTATATCTGTGGAGACTTGAGAGACTCTACTATGTCATCCAAACAAAGTAGAGCTGATTCTTCTGCATCAAACAAGGAAAGAACAACTTTATCTTTGGAATGGAAAGATAACATTATTAAAGACTTCGATACAAAAATGAAAAGTTGTAAATTGGCAAAGAAGTTTGACCTACCGGAATCGACGGGCAGAACAATTATAAAAGGTAAAGAAAAAATTCTCTAGCTGTGAAAAATGCTCAATCTTTAAATTTAAGCATCATTCGTAAATGTCACGGTATTATCGCTGACATGGAAACAATGTTAAAATTATGGTGTGATAATCAAGTAAATGTGAAAAATTGTATAATAATATAATTTGTTATACATACATATTATCTAAGATTTTATTAAACATTTTCTTCTAAATTATTGTTTTCTTTAGTCTTCGGCCCCAATTAAAAATTATTAGTACGTATTTATATGCGAAATTATACCCCGACTTATGCAAATTCGACTTGCGCGGTTACAATAAACTTACAATGAACTTACTCTTATTAAAACCAATTGGTCTCTAGATTTTAACACAAACAAAATATATCTGATCTATAAGACTTTGTGAAGTCAACTGCTCTGTCACAATGTATTTTTACAAAGTGATGTGACTATACTCCCACATTTGTTCAACATCTGTTTCAAGGTTAAGTGAAAACGATGTCAATTTACCCCGCATGTAGCTTCAGTTCCACGTTGTTATTAATTCTAATGTCTTCCTGTATTTTTAGAATTTCTATGTGTTCCTGTAGTCATCTTTTTAGTTGATTGTTTTCTGTCATAATACACTTGATACTATCGTTTAAAATTTTACAACCTTCAGTATTGCAATGTTGTGCTACTAACGATGATATCAAATTATTTTTAATGGCATATATGTGTTCTTTAATCCTTGTCTTTAATTTTCTATTTGTTTCTCCGACGTATCTTTTTTTTATGTGAACAACTGCAATCTAATGAATAAACTACATTATCTTTTTCTAAATCATTATGTTCATAATTTTCATGTTTACTGTTAATCAATTTTGCTATGGTTCTTGTATGGTTTGGTACTAAAATAATATCTAATCTTTTTAATTCGTTTTTTAATTTTTCAAAAACACCGAAAACATATTCTATTTTTAGATACACAGTCTTAACAACTTTTGGCTGTCTATTTAATGTGACATTTTTTCTTTTTCGTTTACTTCTTTCCAACCACTTAAACAATAATGTTCTAGGGTAATTAGGGGAACTCAAACGTAGGCTACAAACAAACAGTTTGGAGATGTAAGAATTTTTATTTGCATGACTAGTAACAATGTTTAGAAATCATTTTAACATGGGAAACTTGAGTTTCAGAAACAATGTGGAGAAAATCATGGGTCATGTCATTTTAGTGGTGTAACAAATTTTCATGATGATCAAAATTTAAAAGATCTAATATCAGTAGGATTCGATGTTTTCAATTTATTTTAAGACATGCTTCCAAACAGTCCTGTTAGTTTATGAATTGTCTTGGGAAAATAAGTTAAGCAGATTTATAGTAACTTAATGTAACTTATACTATAAAATATTTAATTGGAATTGCTCCATCAGGACTTATAACTTTTCTTTCTAGTGGGTATGGTGGAAGAAGTACAGATTTGCATTCGTTACAGATTTGTTTATAACAAATGACTGTTATAAACGAATCTGTAACGAATGCAAAAACTGGAGAAGGGAGATATTGTTATAGCTGATAGAGGGTTTCCTCAAATTAAATTGGTTGTCGAAAATAAAAATTTTATTTTAATTATGCCTCCTTTTTCAAAACCAAATCAAAAGCAGTTTAGTGGTAATGAAATGGACGAAACATACAAAATTGCTCGTGTAAGAATTCATGTTGAGAGAGCCATTGGTAAAATTAAAATTTTTGAAATATTGAACTGTAGATTACCCATTTCACTTCTTCCATATGTAGATAAAATAATGTTTGTTTGTGTATTAGTAAAACTACAGCCACCAATTATAAATGAGTGAAATTTTTCTATTGTGAAAACACTATAAAACTTAATAGTGTTTACACTTAATACTTAAATACTATTTACAATTGCGGGTAAATAATAATTAAAGTAGAACATTTGCATCTTCTCTAATAGTGAATAAATGAATGTCTCATTTTTTTTCCACTTTAAGGGTCTAAATGGAGAAGAAATCCTTCGCATTTATTTCTTATGTGTTATGTAAACATTTTCCACCAGAGCAGTGCACGAGTAACTTGCACTCAGACTCTATAGTAAGTTCTAAGTAATTCATAAATAACCAGAAATAAATAAACAGAATAACCAACATATGCAGAAGATACGGAAAATTGGTAAGGGCAGCATTGCCATAGAACTTGGGCATCGTGAGGATCCACTACTCTAGAGAACTGTATTGGAGAACATACCCAGAATTGATTACACGCCGGCCGAAAAAACGATGGCTGCGCGTTGTAATTTACTCCATACATTCTGATGTTCAGAAAGATGACCTGGCTAGCCTAATATACAAACAAAATAACATTGTTAATGACATTTATACTGAGCAGGACTTTATGCAGGAATTCAAAGTAAAATTTATTTTATGATGAAAGAACGCTGTTTACAGGAACTGGGTGGTTGAAATCTCTCCAAACCTCCGAAAATGGATGCTATTGCAAGAGAAGTTAAACATTGAATGGTCTAGATCGGGGGTGTCCAACCTTTTTGTTCCTCTGCGCCACATTGGAAGAAGTCATGGAGTTTTGGGCCACAAGTATATATAATATATTTGTGA